GAAGTGCGCGTGCGCGCAGGTGACCGTCCCGCCCGGTCTTCCTCGCCCCGCCCCCAAGTTTGGCCACCTGCCCAGGAAACTTGCGGTGGATTGTTGCCCTCGGGTCGCTCCGGGGCAGGGACACGGGATCGGGCCATGGAAGGTACGTCGAGGACTCGCGAGCCCCGGGCCCGGCCGAGAGAGCGAGACCCAGACCTACAGCCGCGCCCGGACCGAGACCGCCACCCCGAGCGACAGCCGGACCGAGCCGGGGACCGGCGCAGGGAGAGACACGGGGGCGAGCGGCGGGACGGGGACCAGGACAGGGGGCGGCGGGGCCGCGACCCCCGCCAGGACAGACACAGGGTCGGGGACCCATGCCCTGGTGAACAAGGAGTTTGGGAAAAATCCCGCCCAAGCCGGACGAGGGACGGAGCCCGGCAGCCGACCTGGGACACGGCCCCGCCCCCCTGGCCGGCGCCCTGGGAAACCCCGGAGCCGCCGCCCTACAGGAAGGAGGATTTCGGGCGTCGCGGACCCGAGAGGTGAGGTGGGCTGCGGGGGTGGCCCGGCCACCTCGGCACCGTTGAAGCCAGGGTCCCAGGTCCCTGCGCTGCTGCGGCGCCCCTGGCCGCTCGTCCTAGGAAGCCGGTTATAGGAAGGCAGTGCCGTTCCTCACTTCTGCGCTCTTAGAGGTGACCTGGGAGGAAAGGAAAACTTTATGGTGCCTCTCCTTCCTGACCTGAACCCATTAACAACGCAGGAACCACCCCTGTTAGCAGTGGCAGGGCCGGGGCACCAGGTGAGAAGGAAGAAAGGACTTCAGGACAGGAAAGGGAAGAGTGGGAAAGAGATCGGTAGGTGGGGTTAGCCCCAGGCTCCTCCCTGACCCTCCACCACGTGGTCACAGCACTGCCCCCTTAGGGTTTCAGACCCTTTTCCTGTGTTCCAAAACTAGTCTTGAGTTCCTCTAAGTCCCCTTTTCCTGGAGGCTAGGGCTGAGAAAGTCAGCCTGCTGACGGGTAATAGTTCAGTGTGTAACCTCCTCCAGGGGTATATGTATTTCAGAAACAGACAGCCTGGAGATGCTACACTTTTAACTAAAACTCCTCACTGAAGGGCAGAGATTTACCCCCTTTATCAGTGAGGTCTTTCCAGGCAGCCTCATTCACATCCCAGGGTTGTCTTGATGCAGGACAGGGCAAATTCCCTTGAGGAGACTCAAAGCCTACACTAAGAGAGAAGAGGATCCTTCCCGGAGCATAAGAAAGAATTTAAACACAAACCAAAGTTAGAGTCAAAAGGAAAGTTTATCAGAGAAGAGGGAGCACCCTATAGACAGAGCGTGGTCTCCTCTCAGAGGCAGAGAGTGAGAGAGCCTGAGAGAGACTCAGAGGGACAGAGTCAATAGAGAGAGAACAGAGACCGAGAGAAAGACACTTGAGTGGGACCTGAGTGTCCAGGGAATCCAGCTTCCGTATTATTCTTCGGTTCCTATGAGTTACATATTCCTTTGATCTGGACATACAGTGAAGAAGGGTAAGAGAATGTAGCGTGAAAACGTGAGAATATGTAGCGTGAAAGGCCCGCTGGCAGCTCCCAGCCTGTGAGCCATAATTCTCCGTGGTTTTAGCCATAGGGAGATGAATGATTTTGTTTTGTGTAAGGCACCACTGAAACACTGTTGTTCCTGTTTTCCCTTCAGAGTGTGGGGAAATGGGTTGTTAGCAATCCCAGCAGAAATCTTCCTTGGTTCTGCAGGTTTCTTCTGGTCTGGCTGCAGGGAGGTGGCAAGAGAACTAAAATGTCAAATCAAGCAATATTCAAAGATTGCAATCTCACTCTCAACTGCCTCACCGACTCGTTTATTTACTCCTTCCTGACTGGTGCAGTCGATTGATTTATTAAAATTACACATATTAGGATTGGCTTACTGTGAATGTACCTTATGCCATCTGGCACCTTACATTATGGAAAATATAAGGTCCCTGTTGTCTTCCTGAATACACGGATTCATCTGTAAGAACTAATGTTATCTGTCCAACAATTAGTTATTGAGCACCTACATGTGTTATGCATAATGGCAAAAACATTGTCCCAGGGAGCAGACAGGCTAGACAGAGAGACAGACGACATGAATAAACGTATATTTTCAAATTCTGAGACCAAAAGATGAGATGCATGTCTTGATCCAAAATTGCAGTGTTTCAAATAAGGAGAAGCCAATATGGGCTGAGGCATGGAAGGTTTTCTGGTTATCTTTTGTTGAGTAACAAATCACCCCCAACTTAGAGGCATAACATATCCACTTATTATGCTCATGGATTCTGTGGGTCATAAATTTGGACGAGCTCAGAGATGGCTTGTCTCTCCTCCACACTGGTAGGCACTCAGCACTAGAACACTTACACATGGCTTTTTCATGTAGGCTTGGATTCCCTACGTTATTGTGGCTGGAATTTAAGGCGGAGCATCCTCAGAGAGAGCCAGGTGAAAGCTAATTGCCTTTTATGACAAACCCCAGAAGTCATTCAGTGTCACGCCACATTCTCTTTAGGGCCAGCTTCACAGGTATGAGACCCATGCAATCACACAGGGCCCCACGCTTAGAATGGCACCATGTTTGGTTTAATGCTCTGCTGTCACCATCTTGAAATTCTGTATAATAGTTAAACAAGAAGCCCCACATTTTTATTTTGAACAGGGCCCTGCAAATTACATAGCCAGTCCTAATTCTCTTTGTCCAGGAGATCACAAAAGGCTGCTCCAAGAATAAGTAAAAAGATTTAGGGGCAGCACTGAGGGCTCAGTGGAGGTCGGGGCTGGTCGATTGGCAGTAGCTTCTCTCTGCTGTGTTGTTTCCCCAGCCGTCCACTGGCTGGGCCTAGAAGTTAGAAAGGTGGATTGACACACTGATTGAGGGGTGGGTTTTTTGCCGAGCCGCTGGGCCGGAGGAGAGGGCTAGAGTGTTGATGAGAAGGCAGTCCAGATGGTTCGTCAAAGAGTTCGGACTGAAGAGAGATATCTGGGAGACCAGAAAGTTATCTTAGAAAGGGTCAAAACTAAAAACGCAAGGCCCACAGAGTCCTCGTGATGTCAAAGAACAGGTGTGAGTGGAGTGGGGGCAGAGGTGTGCA